GCAAACTCCAGAAGCAACCCTGCAGAGCTGCACAGATCCTCATCTCGCAAGCCTAGGCAGGGCAGTGCTTTCTGCCAAGACATCAGCCTCTTCCACCAGGAAGCAACAAGTCCGCAGGGTATTACTTCACACAAGTATATTGCCAACACTAACAGCGCTGTTGCATTAGAGAGAAGAGTATTTGTCAATAGTAGCAAAGCAGCCTCTCTGCATTCAGGTCATGATCTCTGCAAGCCATAGGCCAATATCCTTAGGAGAAACATTCTCAGATGGACAACTTATTCCCTCCTCACCCTTCTCCTGTGTATCAAGTGCTTGTCACCATCACACTACACAACAATCCTCGCATAGCATCAGTCAAGGGACTTAGGGGCTTCACTTTTCAGAAACAGATGGGCACAGGGAAGATTTTAGTGACATCCTGACTGCAGGGGGCTGTAAGAGTCTAAATGAATTCACTGCTAGCTATTTTGGTTTCTGACATAAGCCAATGAGAAGAGCACATGGTGACAACGTGCCCTCTGGTGGCAGCGGTGCTGGGGCGGGCAGAAGCACATGCAAAAGTTCACCCCACCTCACCTTAGCAATTACCACCTACCCATCTCAGTTGTTGCTCAGAAACACCAGGCTCCCACGCCAGCCTCCTGCAGGCCCTCCAGCTGCACCAGCACCGCCCAGTTCAGAACTGAAAAAGCCTTGGGCTTTCCCTACCGAGGAGTGGACAGTCATTCATTCCCATCATTCTTTACAAAGCTGAATTTCAACAGGCCTCACAGCTTCCCCCTCCCCTTCCCCGCCCCGGACTATCAGTATTAGAATAACTATTCAGCTGTAGCTCACTGAGGTTTAGTACGTTTGTCTGGGGTGACACAATAAGGGCTTGGGATTCCCACCTCCTACACCTTCTTTGAAATAATCTGCATGAAATTCTGTAAAAACACGTGAGCTTCTTTCCTTTCTCAGTTTGAAACCAATCTGAAAGTGCTTCTTGTTGCAAAAGGAAGTGTTCCAATCTCTGGGAAAAAACACCACGCTCAGGAAGACGCACAGACTCCCACCATCCTGCATTTTCTTGTTTTGCTGCCAGCTGACCGATTTCACAGCACTGCAGAGGAAGCTGGCACCATAAACTGGCAAACATTTCCAGCGGCAGTGTCGATTCCCACTCCACATGGGCTCCAAAATAAGGATGTCACCCTCCACCTATGGACACGAACAGCCAGCATGGTTCTGCTCGCTTCCAGATTCCTTCTCTTTCACATCGGACCCCTGGCAACATCTTTCAGCACAGCCCTGAAGCGCTCCTTCTTTCACTACGCCTCTTTCCCCTCGGCTGGCCAGTCTCCTCCAGTGGCTGCGAGCAGCTGCTGCTTCACACACACAGAGAAACCCTGACATCACAGAGGAGCCAGACCTTTATGGAAGCTTCTCCCATCCCACCCCAGCAGGCAAAGGGAAGCCGTGCATAACAGAATGATGTACCCACGCCATAATATGGGATGCAGCACCTGTGATTTTAGGAACTTCTGCACATATTTAGTTGAGGGGAGTTCCCCAGGCTCTGGATTTTCAGCTTGCTACCAAGTCCAGCAGGGACTGCAGTACTCTGGGAAGCTTGCACCACCACCAACAGTATTCTAACATCAGCTGGTGCATTTCATCAGTTCTGAGAGCATCTCAAAAGGCATGCCAACTCTTACTGATGGGACAACGACACGCAGAGGAGCATAGAGGCTTGTGTATGGTTATTCAGCAGGCTGGCTGCAGTTAGGACTAGAGCTCAAAATAACAGTGCTCTGCACCAATAACCAGAGCACCCAGCCTCCCCCAGCACTGCTCACTGCAGGGCTTCCCCTGCCACCCCCTGCCTGGTGTCCAAAGAGACAGTTTTGTTTTCCAAAGTTTATGATACTTCAGGATGGGGAAAAAAATATTCCCAAGAGTAAAACAAACCACAACAACAACAAACAACAACACACAAAATCAACAAAAACCAAGCAGGCAGCACAGGGCTGTGAAGTACTCTCATTTATACAAGAGCTCCCACACGTGAATAAACCAAGTAATGCAGCCATTGAAGATGAAGGTCAGATGGAGGCAGTGGGAATCCAGGCTAAGTGACCACCAACACCCAGGTGGGAACAGGGCAATTCAGAAAGACTTAAATAACTTGCTGTGAGCTGCTGACAGCTGCGGAGTCAGAGAGCCTCTGCAGGACTCCATCCTCCCTACAAGCACTGAAGGCAGAAACACAGTGCCCTCATTCTCTATAACTGCTCAGCATCTCTTCTTTCTGCCTCCTAGAGAAACACCCTCAGCTGCTTGGGAAGACAGTGGATGCCCTCCATCCATACTGACAGAGACAAGCATAATAAAGAATCTGAAAGTCAGCTGGGGCAGGAAGAATCTGTGCTGCTCTGCAGATCAACAGACAGGTCTCCAGAGCGGGAGAGGAGCATCGGGCCTTGATCAGTATTCTATAGGATTGTCTCTATTTTTTTTATGAAACAGATAGATATGTAAACACCTGGAGGCAAGGAGTCAAACCCACAATTCTTTCTTTTCATGCAAATGCTATAAATAACATGGTAAGAAGTGACATTACAGAGTACTGGAGACAAGAGATCAAGAAGAAATTGTCCTCATGCACGAGGACTCACCAGGAGTTACAGATCTGCCACAAGTCGCATTTATAATAATGCACCTTTCCCAATCTCAGTGAGGTAACTCAGCTAAAGAGTATCTCCATCAGTCCCCTTGTACAGACAGGGAAGCAAAAGGATGTGGGAGAGCTAGCAGATGGGAACAGCACACCAAAGTCCCGAGCTGCACGCATCTCCAACCCACAATTCACCCTCTGATTCCGCAATGGGCTCCCACCGGCGCTCTCTTCTGCCTCAAATATTTCAATCTCTACCTTCACACCACTCATGTCGTTTTGTTTTCTTTTTGCCCTTTGTCTGAGCATGATGGCTGGCATGTTATACTCTGAGAAGGAAACACTACCACTCATCAAGCAAAAGCACCTTTCTGCTTGCTTCCATGTTTACACACCCCCTGGATTAGTTACAAGAAATGAAACTGACTGCACAGAAAGCTTAGACTGAGGGGCACGAGTCTCTCCTGGAGCCCCATTGATACTGAGCCATCCACAGCTCCCCATCACTCCTGCAGACAATTCCAGCTCAGCCTCAGCCTCTTCTCAGCGGTTGCACTGCACTGCTTTCAGTACAGACCTGCCACTCTCACACCCTTTCCTCCCCAACGTAGCTCAGTCACCCCTCAGCAGTTAACCAGCAGGTTACAGCTTCACAACACGAACCATTCCCCTCTCCATCTCCTCAGGCTTCCTCAGCCCCGTCAACCCACTCACCTCAACCAAGACCTCCAGGACCAGCACTTCGCACGCAGCCCTCAAGGGAAGCTCGTATCGGCCTCCAGGCCCGGCGGGACCCCGACAGACACACAGGCGGCAGGGCGGTCCCCGGTCACAGCACGCCAACGCCTTCAAGCACGGGGACCACGCCGTAGCCGTCACAGCTTCGCCCTCCCCCCCTCGCACTTCCAGCCTTTTAGAAGTGCCTCCTACCTTTGATATCCAGCAGCTCCCCCTCCCGCACGACGCTCCCTCGCACCCATCCTTCCCCGCCCGCTCTCGGCTCCACGCGGCCGCAGCCCTTGTTTACGCCGCGCCCCGCGGAGGGCTGAGCCGCCGCACAGCGCCGGAAGCGCGGGGCGGAGATCGGGCTGAAGGTCCGCGCAGCTCTCAGCGGCGCAGCTCTCAGCGGCACAGCCCGGAGCGCTGCCGCCCGCACCGCCGTTCGCTCTTCCAGAGGCTCGCGACGGGAACGCCGCTACTGCCGCTCGTTCTCCTCGCTCCCTCTCGAGCGCACCGGCAGAGCTGGGATGAGCCGCAGGCCCCGCGCGCCGCCTACAGCCCCCAGAGTGCACCGCGCGCCTCGAGCGCGGCCCCGGCGCCTCGCACATGCGCATAGTGCTGTATGGCTCCAAGATGGCCGACGCGGCGCCCGGCGGTTCCGGCACGGTAACGGCAGCTCCTCACCGGGCCGCGGGGTCGTTACGGAGGGCATCCCTCCGACGAACCGGGCGGAACGGCAGCGGCCTACGCCGGCCGAGGAGCCCAAATGACTGCAGCCTGCCAGCGGCGGCCTTTAGGGGGAGCTGAAGAGAGGGAGGCGCTGATTGGCTGGATGGCTGGGCGGGGGCGGGGTTTGGTGGCAGACTTTGATTGGCCCAAACTCTTCTGCTGGAATTGGCGGAGAGGGCCGCGGGGCGGGGTTGGCCGCGAGGCGGCTTTGTTTAAAGGGACCGCGCACGAGTGGGAGGGCGGGGTTGGAGGGGGGAGGGGTGCAAGGTGATTCCGTCCGTCCGTCCGTCCGTCCGTCCGTCCGTCCGTCCGTCCGTCC